CTCTTTATGAACTTCATATTTACTTAATTTTTTTATTCAGTTGTTAGTATTTTTCTTATCTGTTTTTTATATACTTTGGAAATTAATCTTTGTCTATTACATGTTCTATATATTTCTCCCAGTGTGTTACTTTCATTTAATTTTGTTTATAGTATTTTTTGTTATATAGAAATTTTTAAATTGATATAATCAAAATTATCAATTTCTTTTTTGTTGTTGTTCTTTGTCTCCCAAGAAGATCTTATGGTTTTCAAAGTCATAAAAATAGTTTCCAATATTTTTTCTGGTAGTTTATAGTTTTGCTTTTTTTATTCTTTTTTTTTTTTTTTTTTTTTTGTGAGGAGGATCGGCCCTGAGCTAACATCTGCCAATCCTCCTCTCTTTTTGCTGAGGAAGACTGGCCCTGGGCTAACATCCATGTCCATCTTCCTCCACTTTATATGGGACGCCACCACAGCATGGCCTGACAAGCGGTGCGTCTGTGCACGCCTGGGATCCAAACCTGCGAACCCCGGGCCACTGCAGCGGAGCGTGCGCACTTAACCGCTTGCGCCACCGGGCCGGCCCCTGCTTTTTTTATTCTTAACACAGAGATCCATCTGGAGTTTATCTGTGTCCATTATAAGGTCTGGTCTTATTTTTTTTCCCATATGGATGGCTAAATGTGTCAGCGTTGAAGATTTTGTTTCTTCCCTAAAACCAGAGATGCTATTTCTATCATAAACCAAATTCCAATATACTTTTGGGTCTGATTCCGTGTTCTGTTTGGTTTATCCATTGATCTATTGGAGGTACTCCTACACTGTTTTGATTACCATAGCTTTATCATTTGTATCGACAGATGGTTGGTTAGTACCATATTTTTTCTATCCCATTTCAGCAAAACAAGTTCATTTTCAGTCATAGCAAAAAAAAGACCAATAAGGCATGTCTCCGGCATTAGCTCCCACCCAAGACGGTGATGAGAGATCTGCCACAGGGACTAAAACCCATCCTAGTAGCCAAATGACCCTCCTCTCACCAGCCTCCACTGCTGCCACCCAAATTCCTTTCACCAAACTACTCCTCAAAATAAAACTCAGCTGTAGATGGCACACCTGTTTTGGATTAGTTACAATAAATCAGGATCTGTATTTATTTCAGTCGCCGGACAGGTGAAGAACAAGCTGCAAGCCAATTAGAAAGCAGAGAAAAATTCTAATCATGAGGTTTTTTTGCCTCTTAGGGTGAAGAGGTTAAACTTGACAAGCCCTACACTTCCTGTTGTTTCCAGAATCCTTGATTTTTTTTACAGGAATGCCTCACATTGTAGTATTCACTCCAGGTCTCAGTCTAATTAAGCCCATGGTTTAACTGTTACTGCCCACGAAAATCACCTAGAGAGCTTACTAAAAATGCAGATTCAACAAGTCTGGGGTAAAATTTAGAGATCTCTATTTTTAAACATGCGCCTTCGCAGGTGATTCCAACACAAATAATCCAGGGCCTCACTTTGATGCTCTGCCGGGAGGACTCAGAGCACCTGAGCACAAGGAGGCCTGTGGGCCCTCGTTGGGAGGGGTATTTTTGTGCTATAACGCGTGTTCTGTAATGATTAGCCCTAGGAGATCGGTTAATTGGGGAATGATGTCAGTATGACGCAGATGCTGCGTTGGTTCACATGTGGTTTTTCCTAAGCAACTGGGCCCTGAAGAGCTGGAGTAAATTAAAGAACCTTAAGGAGGAAAGGAACAGCCTCTAACTCAGCTTTTGCATTGGCAGCAGGGACCCTTTCAAGTTGTATTTTAATAAAATTAAAAATGAAGCCTGCCCCAGGAGTCCTCTCTCCTGAGAAGCGCCCTCCAGGCCTGTGTCTGAGGCAGGTTGCACCTCCGAGGCCCACCTTCACTGCAGCCCCACTGGTGCAGAGATCCACTTCTGTCTTCCAGGTTTCAGCATCCTCCAGCTTGCACTAACTAAAGGGCTGCCAGCATTTCCACTCAATTACTTTGTGTATTTTTAGCATCTGCCATAGCAGCCATGGGCCAACCTGAGCCACCTCCCTGGGAGGCCCAAGGGAACTTCCTGGATACATTTTTTGCTTTTGTCTCTGGTTTTAAAATGGCCTATTTATGAAGTAACCTGTGGAGAATGCTATTTTCCCCAGAAGCCCTGATATTTTAAGTGTGTGATTTTGCAGAATGTGAGGTGTTTCAGGAATGCATACAATGCACTAGAGTAGAAACGCCTTATGCGTGGAGAAGACCCACTGCCTCTGTGTGAAAAGTAGTACTGAATAACCTGGGGCTTTGTTCCTTGGCTGAGATTGGGGGAAATCAGGGACAAGGGGCTCCAGAATGCCTAAGAGAGCACTTTCATGAGGTGTACAACCTTTAGCTCTCTGCAGCCCTGCTCTGCGGGTCTGGAACCTGGAGTCCCCCAGGGCAAACCTTTCATTCCACTGTCTGCCAAGTCTAGGTGGCACAAGCCTGAGCCCTGTCCTAGAACTCCGGAAATCAAGACCTCTGGGGGTGGGCTTGGGCATCTGTATATTTAGAAAATACCAGAAAAACGTTCTAAAGCACAGCTAAGATTCCCAGCCTTGGAGGTTCAGAGCATCACCTGGGAGCTTTAAATTCTCCAATGCCCAAGCCACATCGCAGACCAAATTACACCAGATTCTCTGGGGGCAGAACTCAGGCATCAGAATGTTTTAAGGTTCCAGGTGATCCCATGTGTAGCCAGGGTGGAGACCATGGCTTTAGGGTCTTTTCTATTCTAAGAAAGATCTCCTCCCTGTAGATCAGGGCTTCTGGAACTTCAGCGTGCTTATGAATCTCCTAGGAATGGGGTTAAAATGCAGATTCCGATTCAGCAAGACTGGGGTGGGGCTTGAGATTCTGCACTTGGACAAGCTGGTCTGCGGACCACACTGAGTAGCCAGGCTGTAGGTACTAATGACTTTCCCTTGATTACTTAACACTGACTGAGTACAATTACTGCAGTGAGCCAGGGCATTAAATGATCTCACAGGTCCAGGACAGTAGTGGCATTTGGCAGAAGTGGCACAGTGGGCTTTATGATTAAAAACAAAACAAATGTTTGTTACTCCCTGGGTCAGCCATGGAGTGGTGCTGACAAGAGGCGTGACTGCCACGTGCTGAGAGATGAGCGATTATAAACTTCTGCCCTTCCCATCATTAGCAGAGAGCTGGCTTATCAGCCTTCTGGAGTCAGTTTTAACAGTTGTTATTGGGGGGGATGCATTTTACTATGCAAATGAATTCAAACCTCAGGTTGTTCTGTCCCAGCTATGAAACTATTTTGCAAGAAGGTTTAGATTATCTGCTTATATTTTCCTATGCTTAAAAAAATATTTACTGGAGACCTACTATGTGCCCTGCCTGTCACTAGACGGCCATGCACATTTCAACTGCCATACACTGTACCATGTTACTGTACTGCCTGCCTAGTTACTAGGCTGAACTTAGATTAACATGAAGTTTCATACCACATTTATCACACAAACCTACTTAGGTGATAAATTTCTATAGATCTTAATACACACACACATACACACATACACAAGTACAACTAGAAAAATCTGAATAAGATCAGTAGATGGTATCAATGTCAATATCTTGGTTGTGATATGATACTATGGTTTTGCAAAACGGTACCATCGGGGGGACCTGGGCAAAGTGCACAGTGATCTCTCTGTATTATTTCTTACAACTGCACATGCATGTACAATTATCTCAATAAAAATTTCAATTAAAAAAGGTGTAAAACCACTTGTACCCAGCCCTCAATATGCCTTTAATATGGGTAAAAAGGAGAAATGTATTAAGAAGGTAAATAAACAAAATACAAATGATAATTCTTATTAAATGTTTACTGCATAGTAAGTATTGTGCTGAGCATTTTCCATGCAAGATTTTAATCTTCACAACACTCTAGGAGGTAAGTATTACTATTATTTCTGTTTTAGATGAGGAAACTGGGGCTGGGAGAGCTTAAGTAGTTTTTCCCAGGGTCCCAGAGTCAGAAAGCAGAAGGGCAGGAACCCAAGTCAGGTCTGCAGCCCACTACACTATACAAAGAACGCAGACAGGAATGCTGTGTTTCTCTGGAAGGAGAAATCATAGTCAGGGATGAGGAAAGCACTTCAGGGGAGATGCAACTTGAAGGACCCTGCAGGATCTTGGCCTTGAAGGACCAGATGAGCTGAACTAGCAACAGGCCAAGCAAGCGAGGGCATTCCAGACAGAAGATGGAAAAACACCACATGGCTGAGAAAATGCTTCATTTTCCAGATGAGGAAACCCGTGTGTACACCTGTTTTGCCTCTCAGAGGTAGACAGAAGCAATATTGTGGAAGGTCTTGAGTGCTAGGGGGATGTGGTCAGATCTTCCTGGATCTAGTTAGCAATTTGTGAGAGCTAATAAGGCACTGAGAAGGCCAAGGTTGGGTGTGAATCGCCAGCATTCACAAGGGAACCCAAGTGCAAGGTACGGACGGTTTCCCACGAACCAATCCATTCCCAAGGCCAAAAGAGCAATGGGAAATAATTTCTTAGTGGAAAGTTGGTATGTGAAGGAAAGCAAAGAATGTACATACAGCAACGAAGGCCATAAAGTGACTGAGACCAATGATCATTAGAATCATACCTGACCATACTTGGAATTTGATCTAGTCCCGTATGGCTACTTATTCATTCAATTACTGAGTGCCTATTATGTGGCCAGCACTATTCCAAGGACTTGGGATAGACCAGTGGACAAAATAGTGACCAAACTCGCTGCTATCATGGAGCTCACCATCTATGCTTAGTGCTGACTCCTGATCAGGAAGATTCTTAACTATCTGAACCTCAGAATACACTGCCATACTGTACACTTGAGATCCCACAACCCCAAAGGAGAATGCAGATCTCTCTGGGGTGAAGCTGGGCAGCTATGCAGAAGGACAGACACAGCGCTTCTGGTTTAAGAGTGAGGATGACCTTACCCCAGGGTGGCTACAGGGAAACTTAAGATGGGCAGATTGTCAAGCCTTGCCTCTGAGTTGGATCAGGAAAGTGAGATCAAGACCAAGGTGAAGGGGCCGGCCCTGTGGCTCGGTGGTTAAGTGCGCGCGCTGCGATGCTGGCGGCCCGGGTTCGGATCCCGGGTGCGCATTGAGGCACCACTTCTCTGTCCATCCTGGGGCCGAGTCCCACATACAGCGACTGGAAGGGTGTGCAGCTATGACATACAACTATCTACTGGGGCTTTGGGGGCAAAAAATAAAATAAATTTAAAAAAAAAAAAAGACCAAGGTGAAGGATTGGCGTTGTGATCCTTGAAGATGATTCAAGTTAGCCTGGGGTACCCTCTTGGTTTTCCACTCCCAAACTGGGATTAACTTTAGAATCTTCCATAAACGTAGAGAAGCTGGGGGCTTTCCAATGCTAGCCTGGGTAAGTACTATTTCAAGACAAATCAGAACAAGATGGCTTTGCATTGTAAAAGAGGGAAAGAAGACAGGAAGTAAATACACCTGGAGACATATGTTTAGGCAGGAGATATTCTACAATATAGCCTTGTTCTTATAGTGCAGAATGAGAGACATGGAATTTTCCTCAGAGTGCTAAAAGCAATATACAGATGAAGATAAAACACTAAAAGAGACAAGCTGCTGGTCACTGTTTCTGCAAAAAGACACCTAAAGGTAAGTGACTCGGGCAAGAGTCAAGAGTGGGCAAATTTATTAATATTACCCCCAATCGAGGATTTTTAACCATTTCCAATTTTTAAGCTCCCACAAGCCTCAGACGTCTGAGAATAAGTATTTAAAATGTCTTTTAAATTGGTTATGAAAAGATTCACCAATCTTATTTTTTTGAACAGTATTATAAGAGTTTGATTTAGTTCCTGATGACCCAATGCTTTGGTGTCATTTACATTTACAATGAAATTTAGCCGTCTGCTGTAAATTTGGCTATACTGTGTATGTGTGTAAGAAATGCAGACATCTCCTACAGTTAGATGGTAACTTTTTGCATGGGTAAAATAATTTGCACTTACTAGGCCACTATCCTTGTGGCAAAATTTTCCTGCTTTAGTCAAGGGAAAATAAATACCACAGATACCAAGATCCAATTTCTAACTTTAGGCTGCACAGAACAGGTCTTGAATAGACAGCTTCCACTCAAGTTTCTAGCTGTCCCTGAGTGAGAGGTCGGCTCTGCTACTGTGCACAGCAAAGCGAGAAGTGGTCCTACTAACCGCAGAATGCAACCTTTCTAAAAAGTCACGTTCATGGCTCTGAGATAATTGCCTTAGTCGTGCCACACAACACTCGGACCTTGAGCTGGTATCTGGTGAGGTGGGTGTGCATTCATGAATGTGTAAGTGTGTAAGCAAGAGTCCCATAAGAACTTCGATAGAGACAAGAATGTGCACAAGACAGACGACTTTGGTCTCAGAAATGGCCCATTTTATTTAGCTGGATTGCCAGTAAACAAGTGGGCTTGCTGGTCACCAGGGCTCTGGATCTCAGAATTCAGTTTAGGGCACAAGCTGGGGATGACAAAGGGGGTTCCTTCCTTTAGGCAGTTGAGGGAGCTAGAAATTGCCTCCCACAGCGATGGATCTAAAACTAACATTATCAATGGTCCCCTCCCCTCCACTTACTCCTTTTTGGCTACTTTTAATAATTGAAGTCATTTGCCCAATGAAATGCTCAATGTGGATAAACAACTATAAAAAGGCACTTAACTGAGCCAGGAAGAGCATTTTATGAATAGAAAAGGAAATGCCATATTCATTGACATGAAAAAATTAACACTGTAACTTAGTTTTGTAGTAATATTTGGCCAAACCACCTCCATAAACTTATCTTGGGCATGAATCTGTGATCATTGGTGCGTGATCAGCATAGTGGCGTGTGTTACACAACCAAATAGGATAAAGCTCGCTCTCCTGCAAAAAGTAAAGGATAAATGTGGCTATATTTATATGGCTAATTTGGCCAGTGGAACAGAACAATTTGCTCAGGAATAAGCTACCCAGAGCTGGAGATTTTTAGATTGGCTATTTTACGACTGGGTCTTTAGAAATCAATGTATTAAATTTTTACTTTTTCACAGAGAGAGGTCAATAACTTTGAGTTAATGGATTTTGGAATATTTTATTTTCTTTGGAGTATGTCTATTCTTCCATAAAAACAACACTAGGTTGCTACTAGAACGTTGGGGGAAGAGAGAATACAAGTACAGTAAAAATAATTGACAAATAACTTTTCTTAGGTATTTATTTACAAAAATCAAATCTTGGCCATAGTACAGCATCAATTCAAAGCCCATTTGGAACCTTTTGAAATTAAGACTATAATAAGTTCATACATCAAGCACAACATCCTTTGTGCGTTAATTATGACCATTAATTTAATTCCATCTCTTTCAAACACACCCTCAAATCAGTGATAGGGTAAAACAAATTTACTTCCTGGCAGTATTTTCTTAGCCTCTTTTATATCTTGTGGCCTACAAAACCAAAATAAAATACACATCCAATCAAACACATGCCACCAGCGCAGCAAAATCTGCTTAGTCTACTTTCTCCAGCATCACTTGCAGACACACTGAAATCTTTCACTTGTACTACGAATTCTGATTACAGATAGCACTTACCATTTTCAAAGTGCCCCCCAAAAATGGCTCAAAAGAATGTTTTTTTTTCTTTTAAAGGCTACACCCAAAACATTTCCCTGAAAAACTTTCTGAATAGTGACATTGCCTGGTAAAACCCATGCAGTAGACAAAATATCAGATTTCTTTTTCCAGCTGTCCAGAATCCCATTAGTGCCTCTTACTTCTGTCTGTCTTTTGCTATAATTAGGATGGCTTAGGGTTTATCTGGGCCTTTTTTCAAAACCAGATTTCCTTCCCAGCAGTAGCAGCAGCAGCAGCTGTCATTCACAAGAATCCCGACGGTATTGGGGGACTTATTTTGATTTACACTGTGGTACAGCAATTGTGACTGTGAAGTGAAGGGAGACACACACACACAGACAAATACCTTTTACCTTGTACTTTTCAAAAAGAGGAGTCTTACCTGAGGATGGTCACTCCAGTCTGGAACCCGGCTTGTTTCAAATAGGCTAGTAACCTGCACCCCTTCTCCCTCGAAGGGTGAGTTCCCTTCTTTGGGGAGTGAGCCTCGTGGAGTTTGCAGGGTTTTTGCTTCTTGCTCTGCTTCGGTTGAAATAGCACATTCTCCTGCATGGAACTGAGAATTCAGACCAGTCGCTTCTGCTTTGGCATGAGCACTCGCTCTTGTATCACTCCGGGTTAGTGGGTGCTTCTTAACAGGTTCTTTGGGATAGAGGAGATTAAGGGTGTCTTCTGTTGCACTTTCTTTCACGTTGGGGTTCAGCTTCTTGGGTTTTCCCTTAATTCCCGGTTGCCTCACTTTGGCAGGTTTCTCTGAGCCCCTCTTGCTTAATAAATCCTTTCCCCCCACTCGTTTCTCGGCTGCGGTCTCCAAACACTGGTTCACCCCTGACTTTTCTAACTCACCAGACAAGCGCTTCATCTCTGTCTCTGTCACTGCTTTATCCACGTTTAGCAGATTGTCACTGGCGAATTCCTCTCCTTGGTGGCTGTCTCTGGTTTCTCCTTGAATTCCTGAATAATCATTTTCAGCAGCCTCAGAAGCAATGGGCAGTTTATATCTCCCCTGGTCTGTCACCGTAGACATTCCATCCTGGTGAGGTCCCAAAGTCAGAGTCATCCCTGTTTGCAGGGATGAGGGACTGGGGGTGGAGGCTTGGCTGTTCCTTACCCCCACTTCTTGGGGTTGTGAGTGATAACCACAGAAGCCAGTGGTGGCATCCATAAGCCCAGTGTCATCCGACACCCGAGGCCCACAACCCATTTCACTGAGGAAATGCTCACACCCACCCAGGCAACACTCACTGAATTCCATCTCTTCGTCATCGCTTTCTAATAAAAAAACACCCTCAGTCCCCTGCAGGTTCCTTTGCCAAACTGCATTAAAGTAATCCGTCATAACATCAGAACATTCCAGATACTCCAGGTCATCATCTGAAAACTCCTCGGTGTAGGTTAGGGTTATCTCTGGGCAAAGTTCATAGTCACTGTCAGAGTCTTTGCTGGAAACCTGTGGGCTGAGTCGCTCGTTGATCATGGATCTGTCACCTGAGCAAACGGACACGGCTGCCTCCAACAGTGGGAGGCTGGAGCTAACGTATTGCTGTACCTTGGGATTTTGAGGACTACAGATCAAGACATCATCATTAGGGCCATGATTGTTTAAGGCACCATCCATTGACCTTGATACTTTGGAATGCACTGTCCTGTGGCAATGTACATCTTGTTTATCAGGAATATTACTTGAATTAGGAAAAAGCAATCCATCTGCAATTTCCTCTGTGTTATTTGGATCATAAGCCACTTCAGTTTGCCTTGTTCCTTTAACATCCAAGGGATTTTCAGGACTGGATGCACTAACGTCATTATTGGCCGATAACTGGAGTGACCATAAACAGTTGAATTTGGAGGCGGGGGCATCAGCTGACATGGGAGGACCCGAGGAGAGACCGTCTTCTTCCTTATAAGGATGTTTTTTCCCATCAATTTGCTTTGTGCTTTCTTGCTCAGATGTCTCTGTTTCATGTTTCCAACCAGTGTCCCCGTCATCTTTCAGGGGAGGAGAGAGTTGCAGGTTCTCTGATGAGCACTTGACTTCAACGGAAGCAGAACAGCAGATCATCCCAAAACAGTTTTTAGCAGAGACTTGATAAACAGCAGCGTCATTCTGGGTGCAGCTAGGAGGAAGAGAAGATACAGGTAAGTTTGCCACATTCGGACGTGCATGCCCACATTTCTCACATCATGGTATGCACAGAAAACGGCCATGGTTTTCACTGCACACTCAAGGAGCTCTGCAGTCTCCCTGGAAAAGGGGTTGTGGTCAGAGGTAACGGTTTCTGGGAATCAGCATTTTCCCTTAAGACTTTCCACAATCTTACCCCAAATTGAAAATTACTTAGATGAAGGGGGAAACGTTTTATATGTTAGTTTCTTCTTCTCTCCTTTTATTTTAAGTCATTTTTATGTTATGGGAATTTGAAAAAGCATTATTTTCTGGAGTGAGACACTGTATACAAACAACTGAAGACTTCTACCTCATGCAGTGGAACAGCATAAGCAATCACTCTTTCTAAGACCACGTGAAGAAGGCATGGTTCTTGCCAGGAGACTGTGAAGATAATACCATAATAGGATTATATGTTTGAAGAATAGTGCCATTTCCTCTTTAATTTAACATGACTATTAGATCTAAACCTTAGCCCATGAGCCCCTCTGGCTGGAAACCCAGGTCCATATGCCATCTTAACTTACATTGACCAAGCCAGGTGTTCGGCTTTGGCCCAGCAGGGAAGAAACTGAATCCTGGATCACGCCATGCCTGCTCTCCCTGCTCCAGGAGGGATGGTGCTCTGTGGCCCCTCCTTTTATTGACTAGAGCCACATGGAGCCTGGAGCCCAACCTGCTTTGCTGACCTTTCCCACTAGGACCCTGCTCCAGGCTCTGCAATCCCAATAAAAATTTATTACACTTGCTTTATTATTTGTACTCTTATTGATCTCATTTGACCACATTGTAATTGTAACATTGCTAATCTCACTCTACATATTACCCAGCTCAGAAATCAACAACCATTTTCAGAAGGCAGGAGCTGTGGGTCTGGCTTGGAATTAGAGGCAATGTTTAGATGTTTACTGACTGATCTGTCTAAAATGTGCACAAATATCTAACCCAGGAGGGTCAGGTTAGACACTCACAGCTATGGCGCACAGTCCTCCTTATCCTCTCTCTTCCTCACTGGAGGGGCCCCTTTGTCTCCTCGAGCTCACATGTGCTCATATGCCCTCAATCGTTGGGTGCCCACTCACATAGGCTTCCCTTTCAGAAATCCTAGACTAATTTCATTAATATCTTGTTTTATTGGTAACCTGGATCCCAAGTAGAAGCCACTTAGGGGTGGCTGAGGTTGACCAAGCCTGATATCTGGCTTTGTCTTGGCAAACAGCACGGGGAGACTGAAATTTAGGGCAACTTTCTTGGAGAAATAGTACCTACTCCTGTCTATTTCACAAGGTTAGTCTGAGGTTCAAATGAGAACATCAATGTGAAGGGGCTTTGCAAAGCAGAAACTTTATGCACGTGTATTCAATAAGAATGTGGAAGTGCAAAAATGATAATTATATGATGTGATAGAGGTGTTAGCTAACTCTACTGTGGCAATTACATTGCAATACAAATGTACCAAATCACTATGTTGTACACCTTAAACTTACACAAAATGGTATGTCAAATATAACTCAATAATAAAAAAGAAAGGGTGGGGAAGCGCTAAGACCCACTTACCTCTGGTTCACAAGAAGTGTGCAGAAGAATCATCAGGGAACTCTATTTAAAATTCTTGAATCAGAATCTGTGGGTAAGGGGCCTGAGAATCTGCTTTTAAAGATCCCAAACACATTCTGCTACAAACTGTCCTTGGTCCACCCTTGGAGACACCCTCATCCTCATCATCATTAATGAGGCTTAGATCTCCTCAATTAAAGCTGAGGAGGGATGGGGAAAAAGTGATTTTTGCTTGAGTTTCACATTGATTGCCCACGTCATTCCCTTCATGCCTCTTTTCCATTAGTTCTTTGAGATTTGGCCTCAGTTAAGAGCTTACAAAGAGCATAAAACAGCATCAAGGGCTACTGGAAAATCCGAAGTAATTCTGGTTTCCTGATTTATCCAGACCATGATCCCTCTGCCAGAGAAACCACCTACCCTGAAGGTACCATGACTATGTGGAAAGAAGAGAAAGGAAGAGAAGAAAATAAGGCTCCGAGGCACAAAGAACCAGGTAAGAAATCAGTGAAGGAGGGGAAAAGAGATGGTTCTCAAGAATCAAGAGCCAGCCGTGATGGCGTAGCGGTTAAAGTTCAGCGTGCTCTGCTTTGGTGGCCCAGGTTGGGTTCCTGGGTGTGGAACCACACCACTCGTCTGTCAGTAGCCATGCTGTGGCAGCAGCTCACACAGAAGAACTAGAAGGACTTACAATTAGAATATACAACTATGTACTGGGGCTTTGGGGAGGGAAAAAAAAAAGAGAGAGGAAGATTGGCAACAGATGTTACCTGAGGGTGACTCTTTCCCAGAAAAAAAAAAAAAAAAAATCAAGGAGGGAAAACAAAACAAATAGAAAAGTATAGAGAAAATAATTGATTTAAATATATTTAACTTCTGAATGACTAAATAAACAGATGGCAGAATGTTATGATTTAGTAATGTATGATTTTATGGAACATGTGTTTTAGCTGATATAAGATTTACAAGTCATCCTAAGTACACTGCAGAAGAAACGAAACTGGATTAAGTATAATTAACTTCTCACTGGCTAATGAACGCCTTTGAGAGAGTTATGGTTTGTGGTTGACATGTCTTGGATAATTATCTCTAAGCATTCTAAAGAAGAGGTTGAGAAAATCAGGCAAGGAACCAGCATTTGTTGAATGCCTCCACCGTTAAAAATGAGCTAGCTGCTCCCTGTATGCAAAACTGAGGCTGAAAAAAGCTGAGGAATTTCCCCAAAGTGATAAAGCTACTAAGTGGTGGAGCTGGATAGGAAACCAGAGCCTTCTGACTCTGAAGCCTGGCTCTGTGTGTCCTGTTAGAAAATCAACATTCGGAGAAGGGAAATGACAGAGTATAGAGACATCATTTTTGCAAATAAAGTGTTTCTGTCCTAAGTTTTCACCTTGATGGGTGAACCTTGTGTAGAGTACATACTGATATTATGTTAAGAGCTGAGGAAGAGTCAAGGAGATGTGTGAGCCATCATGTTCAGCCCTAAAATGACTAAAAATCTACTGGGGGAGATAATATGAATTTCTTGTGAACCTTGTAGGTCAGTTCTGTGCTGAGTTGTACGGTACAAACTGGAAGGGCAGGGGAGTTCAAAGAAGAGGCTTCAGTGGTAGCTGTAGTAATGGTGTGAGGAGGGTCTGGGTTTAGAATCTTTGCAAGATGCTCGCTAGCAAAGTGACCTACGTGCCCCACAGTGATCTGACAGGAATGCAAACCATCCCAGAAGAAATTCCCTGAACAATTAGTTGCGTTCCCTCCTTGCATATCTTTTCTGTTGGCTGAAGGAAGCAGCCACATTCCTTCACCTTGTTGTGAAAGTCTTGCCTGAATACTCCAGGTTCTTTCTAAATTAATCATTTCCATATTAAAGAAAAGAGGTACATGCCTTAAGTGGATGGGGCTTCTTCTGAGTTTGAGTCCCCTGGATTGGTCCAAACCAGAAGTTCTCAAATATTTTGGGAACAGGACCCCTTTACACTTTCAAAAATAATTGAGGACTCCAAAGAATGTTTGTTTAGGGGAGTGATATCTATCAATATTTATCATATTAAAATTAAAACGGAGAAAAAATATCTATTCATTTTGAAACAACAAAAATAAACTCATTACGTTAGCATAAATAACATATTTTTATGAAAAATATCTCTATTTTTCCAAAACAAAGTAAAATTTCGTAAGAGTGGTATTGCTTTAGATTTTTTTCATGTATCTTTAGGCTTAATAGAAGACAGCTGGTTTTTGTATCTGCTTCTGCCTTCAATATGATGCAATACACTGTTTGGGTTGAAGTATATGAAAAAAATCTGGCCTCACACAGATATGTAGTTGGAAAAGGAAGGCATATTTTAATAGTCTTTTCATATGATTTCAGATAATCTTTGATACTACACAAAGATTAGCTGCGATGTGGAATCTGAAACCATATCAATGAACTTTTCATACTTGTTACATAAAATCCATTAGCCTATGTTGCATTTTAAATACATCTTTTACCCATGCGTGATTTTGTAACATCATGTATTGGTCATTTGGAAAAACTTAGTTCATGAGATCTTCTAAATATTAATATATTTCATTATACAATATTTTTAAAAATCACATTCATTAATATTACTACCGAGCTTATCACAACAATTTTGAAGTATTGGGAAACTGTCAAGCTTATGAAGAAGAATACAAGTTTTCCAAATTTCTGGTTAGGGAAATAACACAAACACTAATTTACCACAACGATATAAGTCAATTCTGTGCTAAGTTGCATGGTAGTAATAGAAGGTGGAGGACACCAGCAAAAATGGTGAAACAAAGACCTCTGGAAATTTTCTCCTCCATAAAAGCAACAAGAACACTAGCAAAATTTGTCAGAATCTACTTTTTCAGAACTCTGAAAATTAAACAAAGGCACTCTGGGGAGTATTTATTCAAGAAAAATCACTGAATCTTGGTACGGACAGCAAGTTTTCTGGTGTTTTAATTTACCCTCATCCCCCATCCCCAGCTCCATGGTAGTCTTGTAAACCAAGACTCTACACTCACAGTGAAAACCAGCAGCGTGGCAGCCACTGGAGGGGACAGAACAGGGTTGGAGCAATTTCAAAGTCCCATTCCCCAGGAGCTGTAACTATTCGACCTGTCTGGTGGTCCCTGGAAGGTCCCACTCACAAGACTGTCTTTATGTGATCTGACTCAGAGCTCACCTAGTGTGAACATTTTACCTGGGGGTATTTGTCAGAAAGAAATTCAGAGGCAATAGTTTAACATCATGGCTGCCTGAGGCAGTGGGTAACAACTGAGACAAACAATAAGCTAGCCAAAAAGATTAAAAGGGAAAGGTAAAGAATGAGGTGTCCATAGAAGGCATTGAAAAGCTCCAACATATTCCTGAGGATCTAGAAGGCCAAGCACATGTGTAAGGCTATGAGTATGCCTAGGGCTGTGCACATATTCAGGAAAGATCTGAGAAGACACTGAGCTCTCACCTCTAACTGACCTTAAAGCTCTGTGCTAGCAGGAAGTGAAGGCTAAGGCAGAGCTGTCAACTGCCTGGCTGAGCATTGAAGGCATGCCCCAACATGCACACAGAGCCCCTCAACAAAAACTGGGAAACTTACTGGTGTCAGACATCTGAGAAAATCTCTGTCCAACTATTAGTTGACCACTGAGCTACCTGAGTAGAGACTTCAGTGGCCACAAACAACAAAGAATACAGATTTTAAAGAATAAGTTCAGAAAAATCACTCAACAAACAAACAACAACAAGCCCTGAGAAGCGGGGAGTATCTGATTTCCAGAGTTTCCACATTATACTGTTTAAAATGTCCAGTTGCCACCAGAAATTACAAGACATGCAAAGAAAGAATAAAATGTGGCCCATACACAGGAAAAAAGGCAGTCAATAGAAACCGTCCCTAGACTTGCTAGACAAAGACTTTAAATTAGCTATTTTAAGTATGTCCAAAGAACTAAAGGAAACCATGTCTAAAGAGCTAAACTATGAGAACAATGTCTCAATAAAGATGCAGAAATCATAAATAAGAACCAAATAGAAATTCTGAAGTTGAAAAATCAATAACTGAAAGGGAGAATTCAATAGAGGGTTCAACAGCAGATTTGAGCAGGCAGAATAAAGAATCAATGAACTTGAAGATGATCAATTGAGATTATCCAGTCTTAGGAACAGAGAAAAAAGAATGTAGAAAAATGAACAGAGTCTCAGAGACCTGTGGAACATCATTATAATATTGGCATAATGAGAGTCCCAGAAGGGGAGGAGAAAAAGAGAGAGGCAGAAAGAATATTTGAAGAAACTGGAAGTCCCTAGTTTGGAGAAGGGACTGCAAGGATAGCTTGAAAGCTTGGATTTTTATCATTGCCAACAGATATTAGTTTTTCTTGAAGTGGCAAGCCTACTTTCTTCATTTTCAAGAAAATGTCTGCCAAATACCCCAGGCTGAATAACCATTGTTTGTCCGCTGTTCTTTCAAGTAAAAACTGTCCTCCATGAAAAATGTGGCTAGTTCAGCTTGCAACTTAAACAATCACACAGGCACTTTTCCTCAAGATGACCATCATTTCAAGGAAGTCCAGCCAAGGTGTTCTGTGCATATTTCCCATTTCACTACACAGGGTCTTGAAAGGGCTTCTACTGAGTTGTCAAGATTTAATAAAATTAACAATTTTTACTGATGTATCAAGGACATTATTAAGTAAAGCTTTTTGTTTATTGGTTTTTTTTTTTAACTTGACTGTATGACAGTGAAGAATTCTATGACAACTAATATAGTATAGGACCAGTGCCTTGATTTATGCTAAGACACCAATGGTTTTACCATCCTTTGATTTTTACTATCAGTCACATGTCAACACAGTGAAAAAGGCAAATAATGCTTCAGCATTTTTGTGATAATAATTTTGACCTTGTGGACCCCATGGAAGGGTTTTAGGGACCCCCATGGACCACACTTTGGAACCACTGATTAAAGCTATTCATCAAGGGAAGCTTTAAAACACTCTCAGCATTCTCTCGCAGCATAACACCCAGTAGAGAAGTGCTGCTGGACTCTGGAAGGTGGCACCAGCATGGAGGGCTGACTGTTTTGCACGGTATAATCATCTCTGTGCTGTCATAGGCAGATGACTTAATCTCTTTGGGCCTCAATTTCCTGATTTATGAAGAGAAAGAAGACCCATGTCTGGGCTCCACCCTCCAGAGATTCTGATTTGATGCTCAACACAAGAGTCTATGTGTTTTAATTTTGGGCAGGAAGAGGCTGGTTCCATCAATGCTGGGGGTCTAATTCTAGAAGTTCCTTAGGATCTTGCCAACTTAGGATGGTTTGGTGCTTTGGGAACAAGGCT